AAAAAAAAAAAAAAAAAATAATCCTTCTTGAACTTCCGTGCTACAAAAAAAAAAAATCTTCATAGGTTGCGTGCAATAGTAGTGCCAACCCCCAATTGACACCACCGGCAAGCCTAATTAGTGGTAGAGGGTAAAGGGAGAGGGGGGAGACATCAACCCCTCATTCCCCAACCCATGCCTCTCTACCATCCTTAGAAATATTAAAAATTAACTTATTTACACTATTTACATTAAATTCTATGTAAGTTTCGCAGTTACGCATTGTTCTTCTCATTGTCTTATTCTTCTAATAGCAGCAGGTTGGCCCTGCCTTTCTCTTTCCATGTCTTCCTTAACTAGGAGAACCCTGTCAGCGAAGACACAACTGCCTGCCATTCTTCCGGTCCAGTCAGCATTGCTTTAATTGCGTTTTCCATAGTTAATCTGCCTAAATTTAACTTCATCCGCAACAGCTCTCGTTTTTCCGACCAGCTTTCACACTCCTCCCACGTATGTATCAGCGTATCCCGTGCAGTTCCGCAGTGCGCACATCGATCAGAGTCAGCCTTTCCAATACGGTGCAGATATGTGTTGAAGCAACCATGCCCAGTCATCATTTGGGTCAAATGAAAGGACATTGACCCATGTCTTCTCATTATCCACTGTTCGAACATTGGCAGGACCACTTCTTTCGTGACTCTCCCAGTCTGGCTAGCAACGCTCAGCTGTTCAAGCCACTTAGCTCTCATTATTGCAGCCTCTTCAGTTTTCACAGACGCGAGATCCAGTTCTTCTCCCGCTCGAATTCTTCTGTAGACAGACGCCCGTTCTTCTGCCAGCAATTCTAATGGCGGAGCTCTTGCCAACAATTGTGCCACATCAGCAGATATTGTGCGATACCCGCTAATTACCCTATTAGCAATGAGCTTTTGAGTAGACCGACATTTTGCTATCGCCAGCTTGTTTCTGGCTAAATCGTTAGCCCACACAGGAGCACCGTAAAGTATGACCGCCTGAAATACTCCTAAGTACAGTCGTCGTCTTCTCTCTATCGGACCACCCAAGTTGGGCATAATACGCATTAAGGCTGTTGCTGTTCTTAAACCTTTCTCGATCATTCTGATAAAATGCTCTACAAAGGACCATTTGTCATCTAGAAAGAATCCTAAGTATTTAATGTGGTTGCTCGAGGAGACACACACCATTCACATTTACTAGGGCCGGTCTGACCCTAGTCCTAAAATGCCGGAAAGCCACAACCTCTGTTTTTTCTGGAGCAATTTTCAGCCCCATCGAAGAAATCACTCTAGTGGTAACCTCAAGGCCACGATTAACCGTTGCCACTGCCCGGTTGACATCAGCTCCCCCAGCAGCCACCAGCGTGTCGTCCGCGTAACAAAATACACGGCACGCCACAGGAACCTGGAATTTAAGAACCTGATCATACGTCAGGTTCCATAATAGTGGACCCATCACTGATCCTTGAGGGACCCCGCAAGTAACTCTTTTTCTGAGTGTCCTTCCATTAATACTAGGATATACAATGTATCTGGACCTTAAATATTCCGATATAATGCGTTTAAGGTACTCAGGTAACCTCCATATTGCAGCGGCATCTCGAATTACCGGCCATGGTAGTGAATTGAACGCATTTTTGATATCAAGTGATACTGCTACACATATTCCTTTGTTCGTTGTAAAGGACTTCGCAAAGCTTCTTAGTGCCATTACAGCGTCATTGGTAGACCTACCTTTGCAAAAGCCAAATTGCCTAGGTGAGAAGCCACCTCGTTCGTCTACGTGCATCATAACTCTATGCGCTATAATACGTTCAAATAACTTACCGACATCACTCAATAAACAAAGCGGCCGATAAGTCGTAGCCATACCTGGTTGTTTAGCCGCCTTGGGAATTAGGACCAGTCGAGCTGTCTTCCAACAATCTGGGAAATATCCATTTTGCATGCACGCATTGAAACACCTAATAATACGATCCGGAGCTACAGTTAATACCGCTAAGAGCATGTTCGTCGTTATGCCATCCGGGCCAGGTGCTGAGTTTCGATTCTTAATTTCTTTTATGATTTTTCTTATCTCTTCCAGGGTAATCAAGTCTCTTTCGTCTCCAATGAACCTTGATTCAGTTCGCCCTTCTTCAGCATTTTTGTGCTGTGGAAACAAACCGTCCACCACCTTGTTCAGCTCAACATCACTTAGCGATTCAGTGACGGCAAAAGTAGAGCCTTTCAACCTTTTCATAACAAGGCGGTATGGCCTTCCCCAAGGATCTTGGTCAATTGTGGAGAGTAATTCCTTCCACGCTCTATCTTTTGCTCCAACTATTTTAGCTCTGAGCTCGCGCTGTGCCCGTCTAAGCTCGATCCTAGCAATCTCTGCCTCTACCACATTACCCCTCCTGCGATATTTCACCATCTTTCGCCTAAGTGTAATGCATTGTTTCCTGCCTACACCTAAGTCAATGTTCCACCAGTACGCTTGGCGTTTTCTTGCCATTTTCCTAGCGCGCGGGGCAGCCACGTCGCATGCTTCCTTTAAAAGTTGTTCCAATCTGGTCGCAGCTTCCTCCGGATCACAAAAAATAGGCTGAGGGGAGAGCCAGTCCTTAAGAATTATAGCGGCCTTCAGAAGATCCCAGTTCATATACTGAGACGACCATCTCGGGAAGTCATTCTGCCTGTTCTCTTTAAAGCCATTTTTCCTCTCCTCAAATGGGAGTCTAAGCTTAGTTACAATCAAGCAATGGTCAGACAAAGTTTCTTCTTCCGCAGCAACTTTCCAGCTTACCACCCTATGGACCATATTCTGGCTACACCAGGTCAAGTCAACAATTGACGTGCCTTGAGCTCGCATGCATGTAGGAGTAGAACCAGCATTAAGGAGAACCAAGTCCATGGTAGCCGCCCATCCATCAACTATTCCACCACGCACATTTGTATATCTCGAGCCCCAGCTAATCGAGGAAGCGTTAAAATCTCCCATAATCACGTAGGGAGACGGTCCTGTTCTCCGGACGCTGCTGGCCAACCTATCCAGGCGATCCTCCAGATCAGCCCTACTCTCGTTAGGAGGTAAGTATACGCTATAGATTCGCAGCCCTCCAATCCTGGCACCAACAAAACCCCAGCCGCTTTCAAATGGGCACACCTCCATCTTACATACCTGAGGAAGCCAGTAAATTGCCGCCTTATTATCTAGATCCCCAAACCATAATTGTGATTCAGGGATCCTATGCGGCTCAGATATGCAGGCTATACCAGCCCTAACCTCCATCATTCGCTGAACAAGTAGGTCCTGCGCAGTTCTCGAGTGGTTCACGTTAAGCTGCATTATTAACATAACTGCATTAAATTGTCGCCACCCACCAGACCTCCACCAGCGGATTCTCTTGCACTTTTATCACCAATATTTGCAGGACCAAGTTCATCAGAGGCATTCCGAGGCCGAGTTCGAATACCACTAATCCTTCGCGCCGCACATTTGTCAGTTCCGACCCTATGATCTGCTACAAGGCCACGTGACAAGCACACAGGACACCGAATTCGACCAGAACAGGCCGAGGCTTTGTGACCAGCCTCTCCACACCTATAGCAAAGATTGCTTCTATCGGTGTCACTCGGACACATGGATCTTACGTGCCCGAATTCTAGACACCTGAAGCATTGGAGTCTTCTTGGCGGGAGCAACACCACACGCGCAGAAGTCCATCCAAGCCTCACACGTCCTATTTTGACCAGATTCTGGACCACATCAACTGGACACTGTAACCAGACTGCATATAGTCCATTCGCCATAGACCTAATCGGACCCGTCTTGATGTCGCTTCTATTGCACCCTCCATCCGTCGTGATTCTCTCCACAACCTCATCCTCAGTCACGGAATCATCAAATCCGACAATACGGATTTCAGCTCGCTTGGACGGTATTGTTACGCGAGCTTCTTGTCCAAGAGCTAGCTGCAACTTATCTTGCAGTTGTCGCGCCTTCTCTTTGCTGCCTTTCCCAGGGATCTGGACTAGCAGCCTACCAGATACGTCTTTCCGTATCCTTGTATCCCCGAGATTTAACTGCTCGAGGTTAACTTCTCGCCGCGCCTTCCTCATGATGTCAGCATAGGAAGTTTTCCCGTCTGTGACCCTAATGGCCACCGCAGCAGAGCGCGGGGGGCGAATGCGAGGAAGTTTCAGGTTTCCTTGGACCTTCGACTGTCGCTTCAACATTGGAGAATCCGCGTCTTCCCGCCTATCTCTCCTTGAACGCTCCCGCCTTCTCCTTCTCGATTCGACCACCGACCATTCTGTGTCGCTCTGGGTCACTGGTGCATCAGAGCCTCTTATCTCTTCTTCAGTGGTAGAACGTCTTCTCCGCCGTCTACGTCGGGATTGAGGTACTCGACTCCCACGATCTTCCTGAATACCTCTGTCATCCTCCGAGGTTAGGCGTCCTTTAGAGCTCCTTCTATTTATCTGTGCAAGTCGACTCACATCAGACACGTTACGCCCACTCTCCTCAATCCGGGCCAGTGACCTCCGGCCAGGCAAGATCGAAGGGCCCCGAATGTTGTTCGCCTGCGATCCTACAAAGGACTTGCTACCAGCCGGCAGAGACAAGCTCGAATACCGCAGGGATTCCAAAGGAGACGTTGCTATATCCCTGGTAGGAACAATCCGTTTTGGGGATTTCAAACCAATTCCGATCTTTCCATCATGTACGTCTTGCTTAAATTGCCTTAGCTCACGTCTCAGGGCGTCAATCTGATCACGAAGCGAAATGTTCTCCGTCTTAAGCTCCTTGTTCTCTTTAAGAAGTTCCGTCTCTCTCATATGTAGATATGAGACATCGCCCGTCAATTCGCACCTTGTAGCTAAATCAGCCGCCGCACATTTAATTCTCTGCACATTAAGCTTAATAGTGTGCGAAAGATCACCCTTTAAGTTTTTGCTCTTGGCTCGTATGCTCTCGATACTATCAGCATTCTCCTCGATAGAGGATGCCACCATTGCTGCCGACTTGTACCTGCCACTGTCATACGCTGCTATCCTGGGCGAGATAGTATCAATTGCCTTCCTCTTGTTACGCGTAAGGTTAGTACCTAACCCATCCTTAAAATGATAAGCCTTGTAGGTTAGGTTAGGTTGTGACCGGGGTTAGGCTATTTATATGGTCAAGGACTTACCGTATTGTTGATAGATCACGGTCCCCAGTTGTTTTTTTCGCCAAACAACAAGGATGTATTGATTGAGTCCCTCAGGATCCTCCTTCCTGTCGAGATGGGAGAGGATCGCACAAATATCTTTCAACACAGCACGCAGTATTTACGATTATAAAAAAAAAAAAAAAAAAAAAAAAAATCACTGTTTATTGTTTTGTCAAAACTGTATATATATATTGCACACGCGTAACGCGTATCAAACAAAGCGCATATAATTATTAAACGCTCAACTGAGCCGCGAGAACTCTTTATTATTACACGCATTAACGATAACCACGTCTTACGTGTTCGGTACCTCGTGTTCGACTGCCGGCACAAGATGGCCGGTCCTTCCTTCCCATCACCTAAAGCGCGGATCACGCGCGGACGCGTAAGTGCACCTTTAGGTGTGTTCTTTTTTCAGCGTTCGCGAGACTCAGTTGCTTCTCCGACTGGGTGCAGATTAGTCCCTCTTTTCGTGTTCCTCCGCGCTTGTTTAACACACTGAGCACATTGGAACCCTGTCACCAGAGCCAGATCCAGGCATGCGTCTGGTGGTATGGCGAGATACTACGGAGTGCGGAGCATCTCTTCGAGATATCCTGGTTCGCGCCCAGCTGGAAAAGGAAAAAATGGAACTCCGAAAGGAGGCGACACTCTGGGCGGAGCGAATTCTGAAGGAGGTCCTGGACGGCCTACCGGTGAGGACCAGTTCCTGAAAGAGAAAAGGAATTAGAAAGACTCGGTGTTAAGTGTTACTTAATACAAAAAACGTGTACTTACTTGTATGCGAGCCCAAGACTAAGTCAAAGGCTCGTATTTTGTGTATCCACCATGTGTAGGCAATAACAAAACAATCCTGAAAAGAAAAAGGGATTATTGTCGTTAGGGTGTAAGTTCTAGAAAGTAAGACAAAACGCGTAGTTAAGAAAATCTTTGGTTGTAAAGATACTGCGCTAAGAAGGTAAAAGTAGGAGAAGCCAAGTGCGGGGCTTAAGTGTTTAGTTTTATAGTTTTAAGTTTTGTTCAGTTTAATCAGACGCTGGAGTTTAAGTTTTATCACCACAGGGTGAGTTAAGTATTTTGTTTTGTGTTACCCAAGCGTTCGGGTCGTTTTGTTTGGTCGTTAGATTTTCTTTGGTTTTGTAAGTAAAAGTAACTAGCGTCTGTGTTCTGTTTAGGTTAAGGTGAACGCGGAGGCGACTTAAGCGTAAGGATAAACTTCTGTTGTTTTAAGTAGAGTGAAGAATTTAAAGAGTCGATTAAGACGTAAGAATGGGTCGATAAGGTTTTGTGAGGTGCTACAAGTAGTCTTAAAATAAGTAAGTTGGTTAATTGGTAAAAGTAAGAAGTATTGTAAAAATTGCAGTTAAGAGAAAATTCGGTTATGGCATAAAAGTAAGAGGGGAGGAGAATGTCCTCATAGCAAAATTTTTTCTTAATCAGCAAGTTTTAGTAATTTGTTAATTAAGCAGTTATTCAAAGAAAACCTTATTTGCCCGTACTAAAAGAATGTAGGGATAATGAAAGTTACGCTTAACTCGCGACCGGGTAAGTTTGTGTGTTCTGGACAAGTTCTGTTCTTTGGACGAACGGACCTAAAGGCACGACCCACACGCGACCGTGTGAGCGGGGCCTTTAAGGCCGAGAAAGAAGGGCCAGCCATCTTGGCTAAGCAGTCGCAAACGGAAACTCATACGGTACGGACGTGTCGTCTTTAATGCGTATGAAAAACAAGTTTCTCAAGGCTCATTATTCGCGTTTCATAACAATAATTAGCGCGTTCATTAGTTCATCGATTATACGTGAGTGTAACGGTGTAACTTTAATAAATACTGTGTTCTGTACTTATATATATATATATAACTAAAAAATACCGTGTAAAAGTTATTTGTGCAAAGTGCGCAATATACCTACCCGATCCCGTGTTCCTGAGGGAGGCATCCATCCCGGAGAAGGACGTAGGGGCGGCATCCCTCGCTGTTGGGGGGAATCAACAGCTGGCGACCGTGATTCTGTTTATCTATGAGTAAGTCCTTGACCCAAAACATACCTAACTCCGGTCACAACCCTACTAATTACTTAAACAAACAAAACTTTTTGAAACTACTAACTAACAAATTCCAACCCGGTGGTTACATTCCTACTTGTTTCCGCACACCAAAAATGTTTACAATTTTGACTAATTCCTAAACTTACTATTTAACAAAATTTTACAACCAACTACTTTCCTTATGACACACGTCTCCTGTTTGAAGTGCCAAATACTACTACCGAGTTAATTTTTTCTAACGAGCAACTTTTTCCGAAATTTGTAACTAAGCCTTAAAAACCTACCTACACCAATCTTAAGTTCACCCTACGCACCACCGTGTCGTTTTTATCTCTTAACGCCATGTTTCGGTTGAACCATGTGTATTCCGTTTAACTTATTACAAATACTTTTTTACAACATCTTAACGCCTTTTCTGGACTTATTTGCCTCCTCGGCACCTTAACTTACACTACGTGGACACTAGGGACCTTAACTACTCCTGTCGCGGAGTTAACAAAAGAAAACGCACTTAAAACACTTCCCTAGCGTTTATACCCGTTTAAGAACACAACAAAACTTTTAACGGTCACTTAGAAACCTCAGCGCTTAAACAAAACCAGACCGTGACCCTTAAAGAAAACAGAACTAAAACAAAAGATTAAGGAAAAACTCCATTGCTGGAGTACCACTTGGCTCGCTGCCAACCGCTTTACACGAAACACTACTTAACTACAAAGTAAATTTTTTTATGTTTCAGTTTACTCCCACTGACCGCTTTAGCCGCAACATTCTCCACCGCTTGAAGAACTTTTGGTTGTTGCGCCTCTTATTCGCTAACACAAAGTAACGTGTCCATTTTAAGTGGACACCCGCCATTAAAATGACGCTTAGGATAGGTAATCTTACAAACTAAAGATTAACATACGAGGTAAGTATACATTAAACTACTAAGTACAGGTAAGTACAAGTACAACAACATTTTCGCTTAATCTATAACTTTTACTTTTTTCTTTTCAGGTAGCTCCAGGATACCCTACTTTGTCAAGAACTTCGCTGAGCACCTTCTTGGACCAATACGTGGCCTCTTTACGCAGCTCGTTCTTTTCGTATTGTCTTTGAGCCGTTAACAGTATTTGTCTCTCCGTAACGAAACTTTGTTCCACGCACCGTAACGCCCTACTCTGCAAACGGGCTCCCGGCTCTGGTGACAAGGTTAGGTTGTGACCGGAGGTTAGGTGATATTTGGTCAAGTACTCACGCTTTCTTCTGCCTACCACGGTCGCCAGTCACTTTCACCTCCCAGTGACAAGGTTTTCTTTACTAATTCTCTGCTTTTCTTTGTTTCAGGTGCTGTGGAGACGAACACCGGGCGTTTCAACCCCGCAGGATCAGGATATCAACAGGTAGGTTTAAGCACTATTCTCACGCAGTTTGTATATATCAATACTAAATATATTTCTTCCAGGTTAATGATTTACACTTATATGATTTTTTCAGTACAAAAAATATAATAAATCCGAGCGCTTACAACTTGTTACTCGCACTATCTTTTGCAGCGGCTTTACGACACGACTGCCCGTAGCTGCTGTTGTAACACGACTGACTCCTGTCATGGCGTCGCCTTCTTCCTCGCCTCGGCGGCGCGAACAACGGCGCGCATGCGCACTGACTATTCCTGCTTTGTAAAAGTGGAGAATAAGGATCGAATTGTATGTGTATGTGTTGGGTTTGTGTATGTGGTATGTGTGATGTACTTTTTACTTCTTATGTCGCGTTTTATTTTATACATGTGCGTTTGGTAAAAATTTTTTTATTAAGGGTCGAAATTTCACGTGCATGTTGTGTGTGTGTCCCCGGTGTGTTATGTCTACGTATTTTTTCTTAACCAATTACTATTTTCTTTTTCAGGTATGACCGTAAAACTGCTGGATAAGGACCGAAATTTTGTGTGTGAACCGTTTACGTCTGTGAGGTGTCAACGGAATGTGTGCGCGTCCTTAATCCCATACTTTGCACTTATACGTGTGCTAAACTTTTTGTTACCCATAATGTGTGAAACTGTTACTGTGTGATGTACGTCCCATAGGTGTGTGTTTGGTGTGTGTATCCTTCCTTATTCTTACATGTGTGTTCATGTTTACTGTACCCCTAGAATTATGAATAAACCCTAAAACTAGCGGGACTGTAGTGTAGGTGTTGCTTGTGTGTTTCATGTGTAGGTCTCAGTCCTTAGTCGTTCGTTGTAATTTTGTCTTCGTCCCGTATCTAAAGTCACGTATAGTCGTTATAACTTAGTGTGTACATTGTGTAAGTCGTTGTCATTCGTGTGTGGTACAAACTATCCACTATTCATGTGTTTGTGTTTTTTCTGTTACAGATGTGTGTGTACTGTGTGTGTGTACTTCTTACCTAGACGGTGCGCACGTCCGCCATTACTAGTCGAAAACTACCCCTAACGGTAACTCCACCAGTGTAGGGTAAAATAAAAACCAAATCAAAAACAAACACAAACGAAAACTAAATAAAACAAGATAAAACTAAGCCTCGCAACAACGCCCGCTTTGGTTTTTTTTTTCGCTGTTACACGCACTGTTTATCCACTAAATACGTCTTACAAACTAAGCAATTTGTACTTAAAAAGTCTCTAACATTTCAGACGAGTATTCCCCC